ACATCTATACATATATATACATATATAGTCCTCGATAGTACCCGTAATATAGGGTGTTACAGGCTTGGGGGCAGTACCCAAGATGCAGCTGACTGGGGTTCTTGTTTTTGCTAACTTGCAGACAGAGGCTTCCAACACGGACATGGATCTTTATGGCTGGGGCCTGACGAACGAGAGCGCGCAAGACCTAATGCACGAACTCTTCGATATGGTTGAAGAATCTGGGTTGCTGTTAAGGAACTTAAATTAAGTTACCATAATGGGTAATTATATATAGTAAATAATAGGGCTTCCCCAATATAGTAACGTAATTTAAGTTCCTTAACAGCAACCCAGGAATTTCCAGACATTGTTGCTCAGCTCTGTCATCACTTAAAGAGGCAGGGCTACTTCAAGGGATTTCCCTTGCCTGCAGAAAGGAGTGATGCGTCCTTCGGGATGGAGGTCGTTTCCGAAGATGAGATCAAGGAAACAGCGCTGGCCTTCATCAAACGGGGCACAGCAACAGATAGCTCAGCTGCGTCTTCACATGATGCCACGCAGGTGGCACATGAGAAATCCACGTCAAGCAGGCAGAGGTCAACCAGCAAACGTCGCGACACAGGTACCTGGGCCAAGGACAAAGCCAACCCGGAGAACACCACAGTCGTGATGAACAATTTGCCGGTGGATTATAGTCACGAAAAGGCCAGAGGTTTGATCGACAGCCTGGGCTTTCGAGATAGGTATGATGCAGTCATCTGGTTTCCAAGGAAGCAATCAGGCACGCAGCATCTCTCGCATGCATTTGTGAATTTCAGAACTCCCAGCGACTGCCTCTCATTCCGGAAACGGCTCAAACAGCGGAATATCAATCCATCAGGGGAGACTCAGCTTCGGATGAGAGATTCAGGGTTGAGCGTGCAAGGGCCGTTGATCATTGGTCTGAAATGTAGGAATATGGACGTTTTGATGTTGGAATAGGCCCTCCTTCGTGTTCGTGGTACATGTGGAAAACCAACTTTCTTGTTGTCTGAGGATGTGCTAGTCAATCTCTTCTTGCAATCTCGACTGACCAGCTGTTTAAATAGACATGGAGTTGTAGGAGCGGCAAGTACATGTCAGAATAGCACGAGGTGATTTCATCCCTATGGTAGTCGTACACAGCGAAGCACTCATTCATCAACTGAGGACAGAGAGGTCAGCCTGACAGAGCCACAACTGCAAGGCTTCAAGGCCTTGTTCCTTAAGTACTGGCATCTGAGTCTGGGCTGCCAAGTGTTTGTGGTTAAGGGTTTAGAGTTTATGGTTTAGGGCGTAAATACCCTCCCGAACAAGCTAGCAAGTAAGTACGGGCCCCTGAGGACGGCTCTGTTTGTAAGCGTTTTTGGCTGAGTTGGCGCAATAGCAGAACATTGAAAATGAGGTTTCTCTGCCAGTGTAGTTGTATTCATACATGCATGGTCTGCCACTCTGCATCTTGAAGCAATTTTGAGAAGGGCAGCGTTTTGTGGCCGGAGTCTGCAAAATCACGAAGAACAGTAGCTATTTACAGCGTCTGAGCCAATGTTACATCATACATCTGGTACAGTCTAAATTCCTTAGAGGGGTCACATCGGGGAGTATCTCATAGGGGCCAGTAAGGGGATCCTAGGAGTTTAGACTACAGCTCATATCATGCCTTCCGGAATCTGGAGTACGAACCACCCCAACCAGGTTACTCCTTTTTTGTGGGACCTTCTAATTCTACCCTCTATTTGGGTCTACCGTGTTTAGGGTTGTATAGGTTAGGATTTAGGGTTTAGGGTTCGGGGTCGGCATTTTCCAGTTGCTGGGCCCATGCGTCAAGCCAACAGTCAGGACTCAGGAGAAAGCTGCCGTGAACGGGCCGTTCTTTGACAAGGCATGGTGGGAGAAGCCCCAAATGCGCGTACTCACACTTATTACATACGCTAAACCGTAGATCCCAATATTAAGATTTTCCCCATGATTGGTAACGGCTTTGGTGCTTGTAATGCGCTCTCGTGGAGGTGGGTGGCGGCACAGAAGGATTCCAAAAGGTCTTGAGCGTAGATCCTAATCATTTCCCCGGAAAAAAAGGATGATGATATGTTGGGGTGCATAGTCATGATTAGGGGGGCAGGGGGTTGATTATGAAGGGGGGTGGGTTCATTTGAAGACCAACCCTGTGCCTTGAACTCAGAAATTTAGTCTAGACTTGTAGTCTAAATGAGCTACGGACAAAATTTAGCTTGTGGGGACCTATAGGGGGCTATATGGGGTTTTGCTGGGGACCTATTAAGGGATATACTACAAATTTAGTCCAGGGTTTATATCTCCGGAGAGGTGTGTTGCGTACCATCGCCAGGAGTAGAAAAATGGTAGGTGTCAAGATTAGGCTCTTATGGGTCCTGAGCCCTAGGTTAGGTTTTAGGGACGGAGCTGCCAAGGGACAGGGAACATAATTGTGGCACATGGACTGTAGTCTAAAGTCTTCATAGATCATGACGCTTTCCCACAAGCCCGAAACCCTAAACCCCATAACTAGTGCAGCGCCTGTCTTCGTGGTACGAAGCTGGGCCTGACTACCCAGATACCCAAACTTCTGCTCTGCTCCTGAAAGATCCTGGACCAGAAAAATCCAAGGTATTTCTTTAGGGCGCATTATTCCGCATACTGTTCGGTCCTGGAAACCCAAAGCCCTGGCAACCCTTGTCCAGGTGTCGCTTGCGGGCCTTTCCCAGGCAGATTTCGAGGCTGCAGCATGGCTTGCAATATCTTGCAAGGGTGGATGTCTCGACTGGGCTTAACTGTTGGGGCGAATGGCTTTTTGAAAACGAAGCCCTCAACCCTACACCGCTAGAGAGCTGCAAGCCAAGCGCTTATGCTCTGTCTTCAGGCATTGGATGTTTTCGGGCATTGAAGGAAACAGCCCCAAATCCTAAATCCTGAAATCCTTTTGCAGGGTTTCAGGGTTTTGGAATCCAGGGTTCCTATACCCTGAAACCCTGCAGCCTAAATTCCAAACCAGGCCCAGTTTAGGATAACCCTACACCCCTAAACCCTAAACCCCTAAGCCCTAAATCCGAAACACCTAAACCCTAAACCCTAGGGTTTAGGGCCAGGGCCGGAAAGTCCCTTCCCTCAGCAAAAAGCATCTGCCATGCAGAATGCTCGCTCCATGTAGTAGCCCAAATATATGGGCTTTCTCAGAACAATCCTATAGGATCCCAAACATGGTGCTGTCACATGTTGAGGGGTATATTCGGGTTTAGGGTTTAACTTGTGGAGGAACCTGAGCTGGGCTTATTAGAACCATGTGGGAGATTCGGGAGAGGTGAGTAATGTTCCATGTCATGGCTTTGTGGCTTGTCTGTGGCAATGCCCACAAGCTTACCCGAAACCCTTAGTACAACAACATGTGTTGCGCATGTGGGGTTCTCAATAGCTATGCTTAAGGCGAAGAAAGACGTCTTCCAGGAGCATGCCAAGGCGACGACCGTGGTGATCCGGAACCTCCCAGATCACATCAACAGTCAGTCAGCTGCCCTTGAGTGGCTGCAAGCGACCGGAGACTTGAGGGGCTATGACTTCTTCCTTTTCTTCCCGAAGCCCAGGACCATGAAACCAGGGAAGCTTTCCTACCCTATCCCGCTGTTCTGAGTTGCTGCACAAAGGAACAATAGTATGCGCTACATGTATCTTTATCATGGTAACCGCAACCCATTGTTGGTTTGTCAGTTCATGGCAGGACGAAGTCGACTGCTGGAATGGCGTACGCCTTCGTGAACTTCTGCTGGACGAGCCGAATGGAGGCCTGCCTCCGGAGCTTGCGAGGGTATGGCGTGCAAAACAGCGATCCCCTGAACGTGGTCATTGCGAAGGACCAGGGACCTGGGGCAAAGTTGGGGAGTTCAAAATTTGATACACGACCGAATGGACAACAAATTGGAAAGCAAAGTGGTAACTGGGTTATATATAGCCGTTCGCGCAGGGATTGTAATTTCGGGGACCAAACAACTAGAACATTTTTGTGGGTATGGTGTATTGTGCTCAAGATTGCAGTTAGCAACTTTATCGGGCGCATTGTTCTGCATCACCTCTTTGCGGATGTCATCTGCCCCAATCCAAAAAGATTTCCGCAGATGGGAGTCTCCCGTATAGTCCCCAAAACACGATCATACCTTTGGTGCCTAGAGGGGCTCCCAAAAGATCCCAAAAGGTACTCCAGCATAATTCATTACTAGATATCTGATTTTGGAAGGGCCCTCAAATGAGAGTTTATCAATATCTCCCCCCCCCACATGTTGCCTATTCGCGATCCCTGCAATCCCTATAGTATGAGCCATAGTCTAAACCCCTAGCATCCCCCTTAATAACCCCTATAGTAGTCCCAAGTATAATCCCCTGTCTAACCCCCTTTAAAGAGTTTAGACTACAGCTCATATACACATCCCAAAGTCCCTCCTGGGCCTATGAGAAACCCTCCAACCCCAAACTCTAGGCCATTCCAGGGAAGCTTATCTTACTGGGATTAATTTGGGAACGAGGGGATTTTTATTTAGGTTTACGGGTTTGGATTTCAGGGTTATGTAGGGTTTAGGGATTAGGGTTCGGGGTTGGGGTTCAGGGTTATTTAGGGCAGGAATCTTCTATTCCCTTCTTATTCCCTACTAACCACCTGGAGGACATCCAGGGCCTGAAGGCATTGCAGAGCCATTTCCAGCCTCTCATCGAGGAGGGTCGGCTGCTTCCCATCGTCCGGAGCTTTGCAGAAGCCTCCTCGGAAGTTCCCGCGCGGGAAGGGTATCAGTGAGGCTTTTTGCTTTCTGTACCCTTAACCATGAATAATAGTTTCCATTTTCATTTCCATTACCCCTATATAACCCCAGTATATACCCGAATAATCCCTATATAAACCCCTAAATAACCCCTAGTGAGGTTTTGCTTTCTGTAGACTTATTTATGAGCTTGTCTCATGTTTCACCCAGCCTGTGGGACCTTATGTAGCCAGGAGGTTTGAAACTAGAGCCCTGAGGGAAGTCTCACAATTCCAGTCATTCTAGCTCGCGTCTGGTTTCTATAGGAGGCAGGAGGAGGGAACGGAAGGTCTCATGTGCATGGAATTCGGAGGTTTGCTTTGGGGGCTTTTGGCCTCCTCACGGCCCTTGCAGATGCATGCGGGCCCGTCATTCTTGCAGCTCAGACTTCGGAAGCTCTTCGTATCTTCTCATGCCTGTTCAGGAAGATAGACAGGCCTTGACTAATCAGAGGGCCATTGCAAAGGATGAGATGGTGCAAAGCTTTTTATGTATGAAGATCCCAGATGTGAGTAAGCCGTATTCCGGAGTTGCGCGGTTGCACGGATACCTTGGGTTCCCATGCTTGACGCTTGGGCATAGCTGAGTTGGACCAGGCCCCGCGCTACAATCTGGAATTTCTGACTGCTTTCAGGGAAGCAGGCAAGTCACCAGAGGCATGAGTACTGGACAAGCACGCAAAGCGTTCAGTCAGTGGATTCCAGATTGTCACGAGCAGGGTACAAGATGCTGTCTGAAGTTTCCCAACTTTTCAAGTGGCCTCAAGTTTTGGGCTCATTTTCAGGGAGAGAGGGAATTAATGAACATGCTGAAGTCGTGGCTTTCCTGAATGATGTGACTGGTGAGTTGTAGGCCGCTGGGGAACATTTTGGGGCAGCCTGCTCAGACCACCATACTGCTGAAGTCTCACCAGCATCTCAGCGCAACAACTCAGCAACTCGTTTGATAAAGGCTTGACGAGCGCAGAGGTTGTGCTGACCAGGCTGACGCTAATGCCTGCATAGCTCTATACCTAGACCATGCAGCTACCCTCTACTCAGGCCTATTTATCCGCAATTCCGCACCCTACAACTTGAATTAAGTGTACTAGGAGGGTCTTGGTAATGAATCTCCGTGTCATTTCTTTGGGTATGAAAGTTCTCTTGTCATTGCCAGGGGCCGGCTTTCCTCGTAGGAGCATGACAAGATGATTGCTTCTGAATAGCCATCAGGATTTATAGGGTTGAGGGGACCATCCACAACTGCACCTCACCTAGCATCTCAACCTCGAAACAGTCCTGGTCCGCATTTGGGGTGGCAATGTATGGACAACCCTTAAACCCTCACTGCAGTTCTATTCAATTACACTCGCTGTAGCGACCTCCCTCAAAACTCTCCGAAAGCCCTATATGAAAAGCCAAGGTTGTGTATATAGTCTCCCTTGAGTAGATAGAATATGGGCTTTCTGGGGATCTTATGATAATTTACCCAAAGCCATATTCTATCTACTTGAGGGGGACTATGCCCTAAGCCCTAAATAGAAGTTTCCGCTGTATTCTCCATTATCCCAACATAACCCCTATATAATCCCTAGATATTCCCTATATCTTCTATCTACTTAACTGGGTTGCTGTTAAGGAACTTAAATTAAGTTACCATAATGGGTATATATAGTAATAATAGGGTTTCCCCAGTATAGTAACTCAATTTAAGTTCCTTAACTCCCTATATTCCCCCAGTTTCCATTTCATTTTCCATTTTCTTTTCCATTTGATTCTCCATTATAGGAGATAATCCCTTAATTTAAGTTCCTTAACAGCAACCCAGTTCAGGGGCACTATAGGTTTGGCTGAGGCAAACGCCGCGCCGCAGATGTCGTGGCCGCTTCAGCACAGCGCTCTGGGCGAGCTAGGGCCTTAACAGGGTTTAGGGTTTAGGGTTTAGGGTATGTTGGTTGAACAAAAACATGAAATGGAAGCTGGGACTATATAGAAGTTATATCGCGGCTTGGCTTCCATACATAGTGTGGAGTAGAATAATGGAGCATCAAACGGGAAAGAACATGGAACATTCAATGGAAACTGGGGCTGTAATGGGAGACCCAAATGGAAAGTTAAATGGAACGTGACCCGCGAAATTATAGTCCTTATCATGTGGACCCACCAAAAGGGGAGCCCTGATTCTGGGGAGGGGGCATGCATCAGGATGCAGGGTAACACTAGCATGGGGGCAAAGAAGGAATTGCAGGCTTGGGAATGTTGGGGTTTGGGGTTTCCAAATCCAGTTCGGTACAGATTAGAGGAACTGCCCAGGTACATGCAGTATAACCCCAGTATCCATTTAATTTTCCGTTTGCTTGACATCTCCATTCTTGGGGTTATAATCCTATGTTTTGGGGAACTCCCAAATGTTTGCTTAAAGTGTCAGATTTCTTGTCTCTGGGTGGGCGGCCCTAGTAGGAAGGCGAGAGGGAGGGCTGGAAGACATGATACGCTTGGTGCTGTAACAGCCTTTGTTCTTGTTAACTTCAGTGAGGTGAGTGCTCCGGTGCTTGAGTTGGAGTCTCCTATTTGTGATAACGCGCTCATTTTAGGGGGCTGCTGGGGTCTGAAAGTAGGATTTATCGCACATTTCTCAAGGCAACTTGCCAAGACCATCTGGAGTGAAGGGCGCCGAGGATGTAAGCTCACATCCATCTGATCTTAAGTAGCCCGGCACCCAGCAGGCACCTAATGCTACCCATAATTCTATAACCCAACATATCCATACCCAGGGACTAGTAGTTTCCATTTTCTTTTCCATCATCCCAACATAACCCCTAAAAAAACTATGTAGCCCCCATATAACCCGTTATAGTATTTTCCATGATGTTCTTTTCCACCATCCCAAAATATATACCTAAACCATGAACCCTAAATAGTAGTTTCCATGTTCTTTTCCATTATCTCAATGTAACCCCAATATATACCTAAACCCTAAACCCTAAATAGTAGTTTCCACGTTCTTTTCCATTATCCCTAGTATTACCTCAATGGGAGCCCTATGTTACCCAGCTACGCCCTGGACTCTGAGACCCTGAGCCTTTAAACCTTGCGCCTTGAAAGCCTTATAGTCCATATGGTTTTGGGTATTAATATAATAAGATCCCCATATACCCCATATGCTATCTAGTTGTATATGGGGATCTTATTAAGAACTATACCCAAAGCCCTATTCTATCTACTTAAGGGGGGCTCTACCCTAAACCCTAAATAGTAGTTTCCATTTTATCCTACATTATCCCAACAAAACCCCTATACAATCCCCATAAATTCCCTAGATATTCTATCTACTTAAGGGGGGCTCTAGCTTAATGGCCGCAGGCCCTGGACCGTGAAGAGCTGATCGAAGCTATGGTGGGATACCCCATGATTTGGGAGAACCACACTTCATGGTTTAGGATGGTTCAGGGTATCTGATTAGGGTTCAGGGTTTAGGGTATTTCAGGGTTTGGGTTGTCAGCAGGGAATGGAGTAATGCATGCCTTTAGTAGCTCCTATCTAACCCCTAAGAATGTCGGATTCAGGGTTTAGGGTTCAGGGTTAGGGCGTCCCCCAAGGATGTAGTGGTTTTCATGTCCTTTTCCGTTGGCCAATGTATTGTTAGGACTTCGCCACTTCCCGCGCAAGCTGGAGCGAGTGTTTAGGGGTCTTTCCATGTGTGCGCATGTCATCCTGGACGCAGGGGCCGCGAGGTTTAGGGCTCAGGCTTCGTCGCCGAATCTTGCAGTTGGCATATCTTAGACCCTATAATGAATAGGATCCCGTATACTGGAGCGGTGTTCAAGGATTAGAGTTTAGGGCTTGGCTTGCCAGCGCCCTTTCCCCTTTGCAACTAGCATATAAAGCTCGGCAAGTTATGGTTGCATGTTTTTTTCAGCATGGCTGGTCTCGTTTCGTCAGCTTGCGGTTGCAGAGCAACTAAAGGAAGTCCTCTAGCGCATGCTGTGGCATCCTGCGCCATAATGTACCCAAGGGCTCCAATGTAGTTCCTTTTTGGGTCTGTTATTGTTTGTTGGTAAGGGATTATAATATACTACCCAAAAATCAACTACATAAGAGGGTCTGGGTAGCCTCAATACTCGCGCGCCATTCTTGCGTCAGCCCTAGGAGGACGCAAATAATCTGGGTTGTCCTTTGGGATTTGTTTTAATTTCCGCTACTGTTTTGTAGAGAACCATAGTAGTAAATAGTTTTCAGAGGGCTTAAAGGACAACCCAGTAATCTTAGAAAGTCCTGGGTGCAAGCTGCAACTTGGTGCCTTCGGTCCAAGTTCTGAAGGCCGTGGCGATGTGGGGCGGCACCCTCCGCGGGGAGAAGTTGCGGGCGGACTGCGTGTGAGCCTGAGGTATGGCAGACTTTATCTATGATTGGTGTCTGTTGTTTATTGGAGGCGTTGAAATCATGTTCCGCTCGATTCTTGAAAGCAACTTCAACGGGAGGTTTCGGTGAGTTTGACTTCTGTTTTTCGAGAAGTGTAGGTTCCCAGTCTATGATGTTGAGCGTCAAGGGCTTCGACCTTAGAAGCCTTTAGTAGCTTCACGTTAAGACTCCTTGGGACCTAGCTGGGACCTTAGACCCTTAACCCTTTGGGATTCCCTTTTATTCCTATTATAGGCAATTAAGGGTTAACCCTTAGTAGGGGTCCTAAGTGCCAAGTAGAAGATGCGCTGGGCGTTTTAGCTGATTGACGGATGGAGGTGTCAGGCAGCCCTTTAGGGTGGGGTGCTGAATGAAAGCAGAAGAGGAACTCTGCAAAGCACACCCTGGCGAACATTTGAGCTATAGCCTAAACTCCTAACACCCCCTTACTACCTCTGATAGTAGTCCCCTATTATAATCCCCTATAAAACCCTTTAGGGAGTCTATACTATAGGTCATTTGGGCTTTGGGCTCCGGCCTGAACTCCTGCCTACTCGACCAGCAACAGAGCTTCTAGAGTCAGCATGCCCACAAAAGTAGGCAGATTAACCCCAATA